TTTTATCCTACTTAACTCAGACCATTTCTCCAATTTGTCCAGATCATTTTGAATTATGACCGTGTCCTCCAAAGCAGTTGCAATCCCTCCCAGTTTGATATCATCCGCAAACTTAATAAGCGTACTTTCTATGCCAATATCTAAGTCTTTGATGAAGATATTGAACAGAGCCGGTCCCAAAACAGACCCCTGCGGTACCCCACTCGTTATGCCTTTCCAGCAGGATTGGGAACCATTAATAACAACTCTCTGAGTACGGTTATCCAGCCAGTTATGCACCCACCTTATAGTAGCCATTTTGTTAAATGGCTTCATGTTCTGGGCAGTCTATGCTTTGTTGAAGGCAAATAGTTCTGTCAAAGTTGAAATTCCAGTAAATAAGCTGCTGAATTAAAAGATGTTTTAATTTTATAAGTCTGAATAAATGATCTTCCTAACGTATTTTTTTTTCAATCTTGATTGCTGCTTCATCGCATCAGATTCAAGGATATAAAAAGTGATGTGCAGCCAGCTTTTATCATAGTATATGGAATACTTAAATGAGTATACCCTCTTCTTGCTGTTGATCTTGTCAAGCTGTCAGAGAGAACAGGGCTAAATTCACCACTTATTTAAATGTACCCAAATATTGTGAAGTCTATGGAATTGTGCCAACTTAGGCTCTTGGTGAATTTAACCCGAAGACTTGATTTCTTGATGAAGTTTTATCTAAGATCTTAAAAGCAAACCATATATGTTGTACCTTAGCATGTAAAGTGGGAGATAGATCTCCAGATAAAAATAACTACAGAAGAATGGTTTCTCAGTAGTGAACTGTAAGCTTCAAAATATTCAGAATTCAGGTTTCACTTGGATAAACACCCATAATTTCAGATGCTCATCCAGAGTTTGTCAAATACCTGAATCTCTTGATTCTATACATTGGTCTGGAAATAGCCTCTTCCTCTTCTGCTATAGCTAGGGCTCTACCATATTCACAGCCATGAAAAACGCGTCCCTCCCCCCCCCCCCCCAACTCAAATCTGGTCTTTTGTGTGCTTTTACCCTATACTATACAGATTTCACAGGGGAGGCCAGTATTTCTCAAATTGGGGGTCCTGACCCAAAAGGGAGTTGTGGGGGGTGAGGGGGGAAGGTTGCAAGGTTATTTTAGGGGGGTTCATGGTATTGCCACCCTTAGTTCTGCGCAGCCTTCGGAGCTGGGCTGCCGGAGAGAGGCCACTGCTGACTGAGGGCCCAGCTCTGCAGGCATCAGTGCAGAAGTAAAGGTGGCAATATGATACCATGATATTCTTACTTCTGCTCTGCTGCTGGCAGTGGCTCTGCCTTCAGAGCTGGGCTCCCAGCCAGCAGCAGCTGCCCATCTCCAGCTGCCCAGCTCTGAAGGCAGCACCACCAGCAGCAGCAGCAGCACAGAAATAAGGATAGCAGGACCACAACCCTCACTACAATAACCTTGCGACCTGACCCCCACCCCCAACTCCTTTTTGGGTCAGAACCTCTACAATTACAACACTCTGAAATTTCAGATTTAAATAGCTGAAGTCATGAAATTTACTGTTTTTAAAATCCTATTACTGTGAAATTGACCAAAATGGGCCATGAATTTGGTAGGGCCCTAGCTATAGTGCCATAGATGTGCATGGCACTTTATAAACAATTTGAAGACGGAGGCCTTGTCCCAAAGAGCTTATAACAAAGACGTGCATTATGTGGCTTTGTTGTGCATTTTGTAGCTACAGGATTTTTTAAGCTATAGTATATTTTATAGGGAAGAGCACTAGAAGAGGATGGCTAGCTGTGGAAGTCTAACTGAACCAAATTAAATGTAAGGGAGGAGGGCAAAGTGGAGAGGGAGAGCATGAAAAGAGGGTCTGACACATGAGGAAAAAGAGAGGAAGAGGTTAGTGAATGGAGAAATTGGTGGCAGAGCATAGAACATAGGTGTATAGGAGGAGACAAGGGCATTGATGTAACCATGGGTAGCACTGTACCGAGATTTGAAAGTGAGGAAGAGGGGAGGGAGAGAGAGCGAGAGAGAGAGAAGCAGAAAATGTGGAGGGATTCAGGCAGAAATAGCAGTGAGTATGGAAGATAACATTGGATATGACAGATTGAGTAAGAAGTAAGGAAGCAAGGGAGAAGGATGGTTCTGTAGTCCAGATAGAAGAATGCTGACACAAATGAGAGTTGAGGTAGAGTGGAAGGTCTGGCTCTTGGGGATTTTTAGTGGAGAAAGTGAGAACCTTATTTGAGGGAGGAATCAAAGATGACCCCAAAGGAGCAAGCCTGAGTGATCCTCTAGTGAGTACAGACTTCCTTAAGATTTCTGGCAATTCCACTTTGAGTGTCAACAGAGATCTGGTGAGAACAGCCTGTTTGACAGTGTGTTGGTTCTTCTGTTTCACTGGAATCTGGAATTAAATGGCATGGAGAGAAGGAGGCAGAACCTTATGTGAGCACTTCAGAACCTCAAGTTCATTTCTAGAAATGTTGGGTTTGGAAGATTCATAGATTCTAGGACTGGAAGGGACCTCGAGAGGTCATAGAGTCCAGTCCCCTGCCCTCATGGCAGGACCAAATACTGTCTAGACCATCCCTGATAGACATTTATCTAACCTACTCTTATATATCTCCAGTTTAAGCCCATTGCTTCTTGTTCTATCCTTAGAGGCTAAGGTGAACAAGTTTTCTCCCTCCTCCTTATGACACCCTTTTAGATACCTGAAAACTGCTATCATGTCCCCTCTCAGTCTTCTCTTTTCCAAACTAAACAAACCCAATTCTTTCAGCCTTCCTTCATAGGTCATGTTCTCAAGACATTTAATCGTTCTTGTTGCTCTTCTCTGGACCCTCTCCAATTTCTCCACATCTTTCTTGAAATGTGGTGCCCAGAACTGGTCTTAAACATGGGGGAGGGGAGGATGTCACTGGAAACAGTGTTCTAACACATTTTCTTCCCTGAAATCTGCTGTGTGTACCAGTGCCATTTGGGGTACAGCAGTAGTAATCACACCCTCAACAGAGGGGAGAGACCAGCATTATGAAATAGCCCTTGTGCCCCTCCCTGTTTTTTTTTTTTCTGAAGGGTTCAGGTGCACTTAAGAGACATGAGGATGAGGTGTGTGTGTGTGTGTGGGGGGGAACAGGACAAGGGAGCATTCTGTTAAATTGTGGGGGGTGTTTTACATATCCAGGAAATAAGAATCACATGCATGTCCAACTGTTCCTAATTAGGGGCTTGCTCCTGCTCCATTTAAATCAATGTGAGTTTCCCCATTGACTTCACTGGGAGTAGGATCAAGCCCTAAGAGAAAAAGTATTTTTGTTTCAGTAATTATCGTTTTTCCACTGTCCCCTCTAAACCAAAGCATGACCTTATTTTTATTCCTCTCAAAATCTTCCTACATGTAAATTTCAAATATTGGTAGTTATAGAAAATACCAGTTGGTTTTCACAAGAAATTGAGAATTTTTTTTTTTTCATTTTTTGTTCTGAATTTCCTGTGGAAAAATATTGAGGTTTTGATTTTTTTCATCAGAAAATGAAAAAGTTTAGTCATAAAGCCATTTTAAATCAAAATTACTTTTAGTATACTAAAAGACCAGCTCTAGACTATCCCCACATCAATCCTTGGAGTTAGGAGGAATGTCTTCCAACTTTTACTTAATGGTCTCACATGACTCTCTTCCTCAGAACCTTTTGCTTTGCTCAATTTGGAGCATAGATTCAGAATAGTGCCTGGGGCTAGCATGGTTGCTGCCCTAAATTGAGACTGCAGCAGCCCTACTTTTGTCTGAATAGCTGTGGAAGACAAGATGCATGTAAAAGAGACAGAGGCAAAGAAAGGCATTATGCTGCCTGGGAGAGAATATTGAATGGATGAATTAAAAAATGAATGGATTTGTGTTTCAGGTTTCCCCATGTGAGAGATGCCGTTGCGAAGCCAGTGGTGAAGTGCTGTGCACAGTGTCTGCTTGTCCTCAGACTGAATGTGTGGATCCAGTGTATGAGCCAGATCAATGCTGCCCCATCTGCAAAAATGGTAGGTAACTAATGCAACATCCAGATGGTTTTCTTTCTCAGAGAGTTACCAGTTGCTCAAATTTCTTTGAATGAAAGTTGATTGTCCAAGCAAATGTGCAGAAATATAAGAAAGCTCTGTTGTGTTGAAGGGAATGTTTTCCTTGACCTGGATAGATTTTACAATGATCCACAAAGATTTTGTTGCCAGAGAATCATGTGTGGCATCAACACCAGTCTCTGGTTGTGTGTTCTGCATATGTTCATTGTGGATGTGACTTGTGTGCCATATCAAGTCTAGGCCCTTGATTCTTCCCAACTGTAATGCCCAGTGGCTGAGGCAGGTTAGGCAGCAGTCCTGAGTTCTAGTCAATGGTGCATGAGTGGTTGGGTAGCCGGCTGGTCAATCCGTATTGCAGGCAGTCCAGAGCAGTGGTCTGAGTTTGCACAGGGGTCAGTAGCTGGCGGATCCAATCCAAGGGGCTGGGTCAGTTTGTTGGGGAGGCAGGATCAGGCGAGACAGCAGGGCAACAAGGTAGGGTCAGTAGGAACAGCAAGGCAGTCTAGGCAGCAGGCAACAGTCTGTTGCTCAGTCAGCTTCCTCTTCCAATTGGGGCCTTTGTATAGTCCAGGCACCCAGTGAGAATGCTGCCTGTCCATCCAATCGGGGCCTGGGGTGTGGCTGCGGTAGGCCTTTAGCATTAGAGCTGTTGGTCAGGCACCGCTGTTCAGCGCATCGTCTAAGGATGCTCCCTAAGGATTGGTGGCAATATTGGGGTCCTGACACCAACTTTCCATTATTGAAAGGTAGAACTTACTTTTATTTTACCTTCATGTTTCTTCCCTTGGAGAGAGGTTTTTTTTTTTTTTTTCCTCCTGAGGCAATCAAATGTACCTTGTTGAGCTCATTTAATTTTCATAACTAAATGAATTAAACTTCCATGTTTAATTGAATATTCTTTGTAACTAAAGTGGGTAGAAAGTCTCTACTCCCAGCAAGGCTTGCATTAGATCAAAGTCTTGATCTATTTAGAAGAAGAAATTATGAGATATTCCAGTTCACCATTTATAAAAAAAGAAATAACTTCTTATTAATAAAAATGAATACTGCAGTATCAAATGAAACTATTTAAAATGAGAAAAGCATTTAAAATTATTCAGATAATTTTGCAGTCCTATGTTATTTCTGTATAATATATAGGGCCATTATATTAGCTAAAACAAACTAATGAAAACTGTGCAAAAGCTAGATGGAGAGAGACTGTATAGAACTCTCTTAAGTTACGTCTACACTGCACACTTCTTTTGGCACTGCTAAGAGTACATAGATTGAATGCACCCCTAGCCTGGGTATAAATAGCAGTGTAGATGATGAGGCACTGCTTAGGTGAATAGCACAAAGATGCATCTGAACCTGTGGGTATGTACCCCACATGGCTCACTACTCACCCAAGCAGTGCCTCCCCATCTACGCTGCTAGTTTAAGCAGTGTGGGGTCCCACTGCTGAGTCTTTCCCTCCACCCAGAAAGATTCCATCCGCAGTGACTCTGGCAGCAGGGAAAGGCTCGAGCAGCTCCTTCCTAGGTGTCGACCACTGTCCAAGACAGGATACAGGACCTGAGAGTGTGACACATTAGTTTAGGAATGACGGGAGACACACCCATAGGGGTATTTGCTTTCAGTATCTGCTGTATTGTTTGTAGCTCCTAGCACAGACTGGTGGTGGCAGGGAGGAAGCCTGTCCCAGGATAAGTCTACACAGCAGCTGGGAGATGTGATTCCCAGCATGGATAGACATACACGCACTAGCTCTGCTATTTTTAATGTGTTAGCTCAAGCAGAGTGGCTGGAGTGGCACAGGCGGCGGCTCAGCATATGCCAGAGTACGTACCCAGAGAGTTGGGTGGGATTGATCTTGGATAGCTAGTCCAAGTGGCTGCCCGTGCCGCTTCAGGTGCACTGCTATTTTTAATGCACTAGCATGAGCAGAGCCAGCACACACGTGTCTCCCCAAGCTGGGAATCTCACTTCCCAGCTGCTGTGTAAATATACTCTCTGAGGGTTTGGGTTAGAAGAGCAATACACTAAATACACATCATCCTTTCCAATGGATTTCCCAGGAGGCATTAATGCAGCTCTAAGCAGCAGTAAAACTCCCGCGTGATGACTTTTTTCCCCTCAGACAAAACGGTAGTGCAAAGTGGTAGGTACCTACCAACGATAGCTTGACTGTGAATGAGCCAGGAGGAGGAACTGGGGCAGGGTCTGGCTCTCTGAATGGATTCCCTGAGACCAGCAGATTTCCTGACACGCTTGGTTAGAGGATTGAACACCCTGCCCCAAAAGAGCAGACCTCTGTACTCATAAGCCTCCCTCACCTCAGAGAGGGTGGTGCTCAGAAAGTGCACATAAGGAACCGGGCTGAGTTTCTAACTGAGCTATCCCCTCCTGTAAGAAAGGGTGATGGGAGCCCTATGATCCTGAACATAGACTGTTTCTCTGTAATTGTAATCACATATGCCTTGTATAGTCTAGTGTAGAGACCGGCGACACTGACATAATTTCAGACAAAAATTGCTGGAGATGTTGGTTTCCAATGAGCTGTTCTGACATTAACAGGAGCAACCAGAAACTGAAAATATTTTTCCTTTTTAGGTTTTAGACAAGGAAAAAATGCTATTAACCATAACAAAAACAAGACAGTTCGTGAGAGGCTTAGCTTTTCTGATTCAGTGAAGAAGTTCATAAAGAAGCTCCTCTGTATGGAATTTGGTTTTTAAAATATCAGGCTCCTTGCTGTCAAAGCAGGGATGTAGCTGTTTAGGAGTATGGCACCTGCACAGTTTGAAATTGTTTGCCTTCGCAGGCAGAGAAGGAATATCGGTGAATGTTTTAAATTAATGTCTGGGCAAACTGATCAGCTAGGAAAGCTTACCCTGCCTCATCAGTCATATGCAAGCCTGGTGATACAAATTCACTGTGGATATGCATCACAATATTTCATGGCAAAGTTGCTCACAATAGGATTGTCATCACATCACCTTGCTGACCCAGAAGACCCTAGCTGAGCACATGGGAAAGGCCATCCATGCAACCTGGGAGGAGAGAGAAGACCAGCTGAATGTGGAAGCAGCTATTATGGAGTACCCTACAGCAGAAGGCCATAGAGGAGCGAGCAGGCTAGTTTCATACAACCCACTCCATAAGAGACTTGTGCTCTCATTCCCTGTCCTTGAAGTGAGTACAGGAGGAAGAGATTAGATTTGGGTTCTGGAAATTTCCTGATCTTTGTGGCAAACAGCAAAATCCAAACTCAAACTTACCTTGGTTTTCCTGGCACTCAGTGATACACAGCAGTTCCCCAACCCTCCCTGGCTAGAGAGCTCACTGTCAGTGCAACAAGAGACAGAGACATGCCCTTTGCAAATAAGACCATGTACACAGGTATGGGACTAATGAGTGTGGAGAATGGTTAGTGAACGCATGACCTACATGGAGATGAGCAAATTCAGTCTGTACTCAGACCGGTGCAACTACTAGGCAAACTAGGTGGCCGCCGAGGGTGCCAAGATTTGAGGGCACCAAAAAGCGGTGCCCAAAATGTCTGGGATGCTCACCCAGTGCCGGCTAAATGTGTAACCCTCTTCCTGCCGCTGTGCGAGGGGCAGGGCCGGCTCTAGGACTTTTGCCGCCCCAAGCAAAAACAATTTTGGCTGCCCCCCCCCTGTTTTTTTCTTACCCTGGCCCCGCCTCAACTCCGCCTCTTCCCCCAAATCCCGAGCCCTGCCTCCTCCCCCCCAGGCTCTCAAGCCTAGGAGGGAGGGAGGGGGAGGAGAAGCGGTGTGTGCGCCGCAGCCACTCAGTCTCCTCCTCCCTCCCAGGCTCTCAAGCCTGGGAGGGTGAGCAGCGGCGTGCAAATCAGCTGTTTCGCGCGCCACGGCCGCTCGGGATCTCGCCCTCCCTCCCAGGTTTGAGAGCCTGGGAGGGAGGGCAAGCAGCGGTGCGCGAGCGGCAGCAGCAGCGGAGGTGAGCTAGGGCGGCCGGGGCACATTTTTAGGGGTGGCATTCTGGCGCCAGCCATGCCGCCCCTAAAAATGTGCCACCCCAAGCACCAGCTTGTTTTGCTGGTGCCTAGAGCCGGCCCTGGCGAGGGGGCGCTGTGGCTTTGATAAGCTCCGGCTGGCTGGGAAGTGATGTCATTCCTCCTCTGGCCGCTGGGGGCGCTGCGCTGCTCCCTGCTGCTCTGGCCCTTCCCCAGGGCCCCGCCCCAGCCCCACTCCCCTGAGCTCTGCAGCAGGGCCAGGCCTGCACTCAGAGACCCAGCCCCAGCCACGCTGCCGGTGAGTGCTGGGGGGTGGTTACCCCCTGCCCTGCAAGCCAGCCATGCCCCCCCACAGAAGCCTGGGGCCCCCCTGCTCCCCCCCCGGAGGCCTGGAGCACCACCCACCCCCCGTGGGGGAGGGCTACGTAGGGCCTCAGAATATCTAGGGACGGCCCTGGTACCCGCCACCCTGCCCACAGCCAGCCCCTGCTGCATCCCCCTGCCCAATGCCAGCCCCATACCCCGTCTCCAGCCAGCCCCTGCTGCACCACCCCTCCGCCCTGCCCGCAGCCAGCCAGCCCTGCACCCCCTCCTGTCTCCAGCCAACCCTTGTCGCACCCCCCTGCCTGAAGCCAGCCAGCCCCACATCCTGTCAGGTTACTCATTTATTTTCATTAAATATGTAGACTAAATATTGAAATTAATACATTTTCAAGCCGAATGTGTATGTATTCTAATGAACAATGCCACATTATGCAGTATTCATTTTTGAAAGTTTATAATAAGCGATGCTCCCTGGGGAGGTGGGGCTGGGGGGCACAAGGTGGAAGTTTTGCCTAGGGCGCAAAATATCCTTGCACCGGCCCTGTCTGTACTTCTGCAGGAATATGGAACACTGCACATGGGATGGGGAGTCCTGCCATGTTCTAGCACCATCTTGGCACGCTATCAAATAAGAGACAGGTGACTTTACATTTGG